CTTTTTTTCGTAAATCAATTTTAAGGGTTCGAATATAACATCCGATGTTATTAGTTTGACTCTTGGCAAATCAATAGTTAAAGAGAATTTACTAAAAGTTTGAGCAAAAACGAGCTAAAATGTCCCACCCGTCACTTAAGAATGCTCCATATGTATGTATATTACAGAGAGAGAGGAGACCAGTATGTTTGCTGGTATGTATTTATATAAAAAGAAATATTTATTCGAGCAAAAACGGTGGGAAGCAGGGATGAAAAAGTAGGTACAATTGTACCTTTTTCCGACGTTTGATGACTTAAAGGTACATTAGGCACAGTCAAAAGATTTTAGGTACAATCCTCTTTTGATCAGATGCATTTTTAGTTTTTTTCTTTTTTACTTGTAGGCACGGGAGAAGCTTCGCTTTCATTTTGAAGAATAAACAATTCTAAAGAAATGTGGTCAAAAGGAAGAATTTAGAAAAGTCATATTATATATTATCTTAAACATCTTACATTGCATTTAGAGCAGCAAAAATTAACACTGTTCTTAGCTATCCCCAAAATCGTAATTTTTTTCTATTAACAAATTGTTAAATGAGACTAAAAAATGGTATTCTGATTGATTTAGATCAGAATTGGCCCTCAGGCGTGTACATGTGCTCCAAAAGCGGCTATTTGTAAGCTTTGACCCATTATATCATCGATAAAACTAGGGATAAAGGAAAGAAAGTTGTGTCAAAATATGTCAACAAATTTTGTTGTCAAAATATGACATAATGAAAACCAGCCTTTATTCGCCCATGCAGTCCAGTGTCTAGCATGTCTTCGCTTTTTGATTTCTGGAAATATATTTAAAATGCTTTCCAAGTTATTTACGGTAATTTTACTATTTTCTCGGATAAATTAGTATACTTTGCAAAGTGTGTTTTTTGTTTTCTCCGATTCCCATTAGACTATAGTCTATAGATATAGGCTCAGTTAAAAAAAACTCATTATGTTTAAAGTGCATTCGTCTTTTGTATTTATGTTTTAAATAAAATTTATAAAAAAACTACAAATGAATGATGTTACTTTTTTTAGGTACAATCTGTCCCATTTAGGTACATTTATTTTATGATATTAGGTACAATCTGAAATTTCCATTTTTCATCCCTCGTGGGAAGGTACTGTGACCAATGGTAACCATCTGTTACCACCTCTGCATGGTTTTAAGCCACGCAGAGTCCGCAAGAACTCCAGAAGCATTGTCCGGATGATGCATCAGACTAGGCTGACCACACTTTGAAGTTCCAAAAATTTATAACTTAAGAAAGTTTTATTACATGGCAGTTGAGAAGTGCACGAGTAAAATATTCATAAATTACATAAAAGAAATTTTTGCACATGCCAATTCTAAGTCTGTCTCATGTTTTCACATCACAGTTTACAAAAAGTTTGGGGTATCCATGGCTTGTATTCATCCAAAATTTTGGATTTAAAGTAGAAAAGAATTTATTATAAAATCTTTTAGGTGCATTCGGAATCTTTTAGCTGTGTATTTACCACAAACGTAACAAAATATATTTGGTTCATTGAGCCAACTTCTATGCGATGAAGACATGATATTAAAATCAATTTATTTATGGAAACGTTCCGACAAGACGAAATACGCCCTCAGAGGTATGAATTACAGTCAATATAAAAAGATATAAATTTATAAACAGTACTCACCTTGGCTTGAAATGTGATGCCTTGGAAGAAGGCCTGTTCGGCATGCAGCGGCACACGCAAATCCTGATCATCCTGCACCAAATCATACGGTGTCGACGGCATTCTCAAATAGTTTAGTATCACTGATTCAGACCACTTGTAGTATCATGAAATTGTTTTCATCTTTTTCGCACTACGCGTTTGCAATGAGCGCCTGATGTGCCATAAAAAGCTAGTACTACTCGAGTTTCGGACACTCATGCAAATTAGTAAAACACCTAACACTGAAAACAATTTATCACTAAAGCTAATTTTAAATTGATCCAATATAAAATTTCCACTATAGCTTAAAATGTGGTACTCCTCCACTATTAAAATTTACGTTTTGCAGCCCACTATCACTCGCTATTTCACTGATTATTTGGATTTTCGGTAGGAATGTAAAATCTGTATTTTAAAAAGAGAAAGAGAACTAATTAGTTAATTAGCAATATTAATTCGGCGTAAACCAATATATACATACGGTGACTCAAATATGCGCAAAAGTCCAACACGTGGTCACTTGTTTGAGTCACTGTATGTATATTTATATTAACATATGTAAAAATATCTATAAAAAGTTCGGTACTAATAAAGTTTATGAACACATTATATAATATGCTAATAAGTTGTTTTACTTTTCTCCTTTTCTATTTGTATGCATGTATGTACATTTCAATAGGCGCTGCTGTTCATGTTCGTGTTCAAGCTCATGTTCATGTTCATGTTCATCTTCATCTTCATCTTCATCTTCATCTTCATCTTCATCTTCAT